CAGGACCTGGCTCTGCCTGGCCAGGGAAACGGGATGCTTCCTTTGTGGGGACCAAGGTGCTGCGATGAGCGCTCCGGGCCACCAGGTGGCGCTAACGGCCAGTGTTTCCTGCCTCTCCCCTGCGGGTGGCTAGGGTGGGGTTGTCCTCCCAAGAGAGCCCCGCGGGGCAGGGACTCCCAGAGAGTGCCAAGTTCCAAACCACACCTACAGCCCCCTCTTCCAGCTTACAGCCTTCTTAACACAGCAGCCATATAAATCTCCCCATTAACCGGGTCTTTGGAAATGGTTCAGCCTAATGCTGTTGGGGATCAGAGGCCAGAGAGGGCAGGCACGTGCCTTAAGTCACAGAGCAGGTTCTATCCCTGCCCTGCCTACACAGTACCTCCTCCCAGCCCCAAGTGCCCCTGGGTGGGGATCTTTTATTTTTAACCCGGTCAGTGAACACAACCTTATTATAGCCCTGGGAGGCACCCAGGGTTTCCAATTTCCAAGGGAAGTTAAAAAAAATTTTCTTCCCAAGAAAAGGAGCTGCCTGAGACCTCTCAAGGGAGCCTGGCCCAATCTTTTCTCCTCCCCAAGGCTCCCCTGGGGTCCCTCAGGCCCCTCAGGGGGCTCTGTGCCTATCCCCGCCCTGTGAAGCCCATCTCCTCTATTGGTACCTGGGTGCTGGAGGCCAGCAGGCAGGAGTGGTGCGGTGTGCCTGACCCCATCCCCTGCGGGGTCTGAGTCCGTTTTTTCGTATGGAGCTGTGCGGCTCTTTGGCATCCTCCTGCTGATCCCCAAACTTTGCCTATCTGTTTACTGTACTCATGATCTTTGCTGGCCATCTGCCCTCTTATTAATTTTTTTCTATTCGAGTAGTTAGATCATTTTCTTTAAGCAGGCTTTAAAATTAATGTTTTCCCCTCCCCCAGAATCAGATAATGGTGACATTACATAACCTTGCGACTGTACTAAAAGCCACTGAATTGTATACTTTACAATGGCAAATTTTATCTCAGAAAAAAATTGTATAGAATACAAACTCGTCTTTAGTTTTAAACTTGGGTCACTTGCATCTGTGAACTCACATGTTAGGTGGAGCTAGCTATACTTTGTTCCTTAAGACACATTCAAATAAATACATAACTATTTAAAAATTTTAAAACTTCATCCACATCTTAATGTAAAAATGGGCATGCAGACAGTAGGTGCCCTATAACTATGAGAGCTCTACTGGGCACTTATTGTGTGCCAGGACATTTTCATGGGTAAACTCATTTAATCCTTCGCACAACGCCAGGAGGCAGCTGCTCCCATTACCCCATTTTACAGATGAGGAAACTGAGGCGCAGGGAGGGGAAATGATGATGCCAAGGTCATGTGGCCTGTGTTCTCACCACTGACACACCGCTCAATGAGTATGCCCATGCTCTGAAAGAGGAAACAGCTAAATCAGAGAAATGATGGCAAGTTGGTGGCCCCGGCCAAATCCATACCCCTGTCCTCACCTTGTGTTTCATTCAATTTAAACTTTTTAAAAAAAAAAAAAGCCCTGACTGGGTAGCTCAGTTGATCAGAGCATTTTTCTGACACCCCAAGGTTATGGGTTTGATCTCCAGTAAGGGCACATACAAGAAGCAACCAATGAATGTATAAATAAGTGGAACAACAAATTGATGTTTCTCTCTCCTCTCTCAAATCAATCAATCAATAATTTTTTTGAAGCAGTTTTTGGTTTCAATAAAACCTTATTTACAAAAAGGAGGCTGGATTTGGCCCACGGGCCTGAATTTGCAGACTCTTGCCATAGATAATCGATTCTCCATTTTTACTCTCTTCTAAACATTTAAAACTATGCATTTCTCTCTACCACTGCTTTAGCTGCTGCATTCCACACATTTCATATGTTCTTTTTTATTCTCAGGTCAAAATATTTTTCTAGTTTTCTTTGTGATTTCTTCTTTGACTGAAGTTGGGTCACAGCTGCCCACCCTGTGTTACCTGCTAGCCCCAAATGACATCTGAGTTTGAGGTCCTTTAGAAGTCAACACTAAGCCACTTCAGCAACTCAAAGGCCTACTTTCCCTGGGACTGAGAGCCTTCTATTAGTTAATAAATACTGATTGAGCGCCCACTATGTGCCAATCATTTTCCTTGGGACTGGGTATGCAGTGGTGAACAAGGCAGCTATGTGGGGCTCTCATGAGACCCTTGAGCCACATCGAGTCCAGAACTCTGCTCCATTTCTCTCCAGCCCATTAAACAGCCCCACCATCCACCCACCTACTGGTCTGGCTCTGGCTCAAGACCTAGGAGTACATTTTTGACTCCTCTCAATCTCCATTCTCCAACTTAGATCATCAACAACTCTTGCCAGCCCAACTTCAAAGCAGATCTGGTATCTGTCCACTTCTCTCCACCCAAGGCACAACTTGGTCCAGCCTTCTCCCCAGTGCTCACTGGGACACCTGCATAGCTCACCCCGCCACCCCCCACGGTGTCTAGATCTACCCCAAACATTCCTCCAGCCTCACCCACCACCACCTCAAAATTTAAATCAGATCTCCCCTCTCCTCGGCTTGAAACTGCCACAGCTGCCTGTCTCCCTAAGGATAAAACCCAAACAGCTCCCTGGGGCCTAAAAGCCCTGCACCATCTGCCTGCGTCCCCCAGCTCCTCCTGCTCTCCCTCAGTCACGCAGGCCTCCTTGCTCTTAAAATGAACCACGTGAGTTCATTTACTCATTCAACAAACGTTTAAAGAGCTACTCTGTGTCAGGCCTTCTTTTAGGCACTGAGAACACAGCAGGGAATGAGCTTGTGCAGTGGACATTCTAGGGGAGGGACATGATGAACAAAGGAAGCGTGTAAAGAAAAAGATAATTATAGGAGTTACGGTTATAAGGATTGAGAAGGAAATACACAAGGGAGGATGGCTGGGCTGTGCCTTTGATGATCTGGGAGAGCTTCATGAAGGAGGTGACATTTTATCAAGATCATTGCTTCATGGGCTTACAGTAGAGGACATTAGGGCATAGGTCAGAGAGAGACGGTTGCCCTGGGGGATCTCAGATGTCTTGTTCAATATCTAAGTTCAAAGTCTCTTCTATGACCTACAAGAACCACAGGTGCTGGGGTCAGGGGAGGGAACATTTCTTCCCCAGCCCTGCAAGAGGGGTGGTGCTGCCTGAATTGGGGCTGGGAATTGCCTAACACGTGTTGTGACAACCACTAGATGGAATCACCTTCTCTCCAGTCCCAACAGAATCTCCCACAGGAATCCTCACCCCCACCCACCCTTTCTCCAGGCACATGTAGTGCCCTGCTGTGCCAGCCGTCCCAGGGGCTGGTCATCTCACCTTTCCAGCCTGTGATGATTCGGAGCTGTGCTATCTTTAACTCTGGGCCAGGACACTCCGCTCCCCTCCCCTCTGGTAAACACTGCTCAGATGACAGAGCTGGAACCCAGCGGGGGGTGGCAGGCTCTGTGCATGGCCAAGCCATCAGGGCCTGCTCCTTGTGCCCCTGATGCTGCCTCTACTAGAATTCTGGGAGTTGAGAGAGATTCACCCATTTACTCACTCAACACATGAGTGCTAAGGATATGGCAGTGACTAAGACAGACCCCCGCAAAGCTCTAGAAGTTCTGAGGAAAGCATTAAGCAAGTAGATGAGCAAATGAGAAGAATTTCACTTCTGTGGAGGCAGGAAGGTGGGAAGTGACAGTGAGTGGGGGTAGTGGCTCCCACCAGAGGTGGGCTGCATGCATCCTGGGTGAGCTTGAGCAACCCCTACCCCTCACTGAGCCTCAGTTTGCTCAGCTATCAGTGAAGTGGGTCATTATCCCGGCTGTGTGGCCTTGGGCAGGCCATTTGGCCTCTCTGAACTTGTTTCTTCACTGAAAAGTTATAGGTAATAATTTTATCTTTTGTTTTGACCCTCCTCCATGGAATCTGTTCCATTTTACAGCACCCCAACATCACTTGGGGTACAGAAGTTTTGGGGAGGTGGGCTCCTCCTCCATCCCCCATTTCTGGGCTACTGACTGGTCCAATCCAAGTGAACGTTAGGACTTTGGTTGGCAGAAAGATGCCTTCCATTCTGCTGGCTGCCATGTTGGGACACCTGGAGGAACCGTCATTCCTGTTTTGAGCCCTGAAACAACCCTCACCTGAACCTACCTGAGCTGTTTTAAGATGGCTTTGACTGGGGAGTCTGAGCTTGTAAAGAAAGCATTTGGCACAGATCAGTTTTCCTCTTTGGTGAGCCTCATAACACCTCTGAATCACCTCAAAACAGGAATAATGAAACCTACTTGACAGTGCTGCTGTGATAGTTAATGAGGTGGCACATGGAATGGTGCCAGCATGCAGTAGGGGCTCAATAAATGCTTTTGCACTGTTATATGTCTCCTAGAACATGGCTCTGAGAGCATCTGCTGATTTGAAATCCACTCCTTTAAGACAAGAATATATTCATGCTGTACCTCAGTGGGTGTTAGCTATTGAGAGTTGTTGGACGCCCAGAGAAACCAGAAACGGAGGACCCTCCAGCCCAATGAACTATTAGAGGTGAAATGTCACCAGGGCATGTCCTTCCCTACTGCCAGAGGAGGTGAGAACAGGGAGAGATCATTGACCTAATGGCTCAATCCTTACCTCTGAGGGGACTGGCAAATAGTAGGTGCTCGGGGAAAACTCAACGGCCACCTAGTGAGGCAGTACTTTTGGGTAGGAGTTTGACTGTACTAATGTGGAGGAAACCAGAATTTCACAAGTGAGATGGCAGTAGGAAAAAAAAAAAAAAGAACCTTGGATTTTCCTAAGCTGGAATCAGCTCCAGGAAACCCAAGTTCATGGACAGACCTCTTGGGCCACAGGGCTCCACCGGCTCCATCGCTGGGTCTCATTGAGTTAGCGGCCCTCCTGTTTCCTCAGCCCTTCCTTGCCTTTCAGGATGGTCAAGCCACCCTCTTTTCCATGGCAACCCTACTGCAAAGTGAGGGGTTTGGACTATCAGTGGTATTCACTTTTTCTTTTTATGCATAATACTCCATTTGAATGAAACCTTACACAGAGCCCCAGCACACAGAAACTCCTCCAGTTAGAGATGGAGGCCCAAGGGCTGCTTTTTTAAGTGGACTGGCACCATGGCCTTTTACTCTCAGGGGCATCCTCCTTCCCCCTTCTCCCCCAGCAAGGAACTGTCTGGTGGTTTTCTTCTAATGTTGTCTTTTTAATGACTTAAACACCAGCACCAGGACTCACAATTTAAACGGCCTCATTTCTTTATTCCGTGCTGCTTCCCACCTCGACAGAAGGTAAAACCTGGTCTTGTAAATAAAGAGCATCCTAAGTAATACTGCAAATCCACAGGAGAGACCCAGTTTTCTCAGAGGGCAGAATACCCAGGCACCTGCTGTGGTGTCTGAAGCCCTCCATGTAGCTGCCATTTGACAAGGCTGAAGGAGAGGTGTGGGGTGAGGACGCTGCTGTCCCCTTCTGCTATTCACTCTTGTCCAAAGAGGCCAGGAACAGTCCCCTTCTGCCTGTCAGGGCAAACACAGTACTACCCAAGAAAAACCGCCCTGCAGCAGGTTCTCTAACACAGGCACTTTATACCCTGAGTGATGGGAAGCAAAGATTTTGCATCACCTCAGCTCTCAGCATTCACTGTCTCACCCAGCTGATTTACTGAGTTAACGCTGCACTTAGGATTTCCTTAGGAAGACCTGGATTCAGGTGCTTGAGCAGTGGTAAGAGTGGCTAAAGCCACTTGGGGTGGCTATGCCCACAATACTGTGCACTTGTACGTGATTTGTGGGGCTGAAGCAGCCTGCAGTTCTCAGAGTCTGTGAAAAACCAACCCCCAAAGCAACCTTGCTAGTTCTCACTCAGTGGGAAACTCACATCAAGCTCAGTGCCTTGGGCATCTGGCCTGAACCTGTTTCGAAAAAACACTTCCCTAATGAGGATGGGAATACGAGAGGCCCAAGTAAAAGGCAAATGAGTGAAGTTTTAAGAAATGTACAGCCACCTGCGTTTTAGGAACCAATACCATGGTCTCCCACCTCCACCAAATTCTTCACACAATAAAGCTCGCTCCTGAGGGCCTCGGCCACCTCAGGCACAACAAAACCCTTGATGCACAAAATTAAGTTATCAAGTCTTAAAAGAAAATTTCAAATTCTTAAGAAAAAAAATATGGCAGCAAAACCTCAGAACTCCTGTGCAATGCCTGTAGCCTGACCACCTACTAAATAAACAGAACACCAAACCAGCCCAAAGCTATGCAAGTGGCAGGCTGCCCTGAACAGAGCGCCCTGCCTGTGCAGGCTAACTATGGAAACGCAGAAGAGAGCAGGGTGTGACTGTGCTGGAAGAAGTGAGAGATGGTCTTGTGAGAGTCTCCAACTTTCCACCTTGGTAGCCCCCAGTCCTAATACTGTATTTTGTGGCTGAGTTTATCCAGCCACATAAGGGGCAAAGAAGGACAGACCCAATTCTGTTTCTAGCAGAGGAAGGCAATGGCTTCAATCCCTCTGTCTCTCAGTAAGAAGGCAAAATCTTCTGAGACCCAGGCAGATGGGATGTGTGGAAAGTTGTGCATCTTCTCCCAATTAAGGATGGGTGCGTACCCTCCTGGAGAAAGTTCTCTGAGCACATGATTCCGAAGGCTTCTAGCACCAAACTAACTCCTTTCCCCACTCTGTGCAGAGGTGAAGGGCCATGGAGGTTGGAGGGCCCTTCTTCCTGTTTCATGCCACCTGAAGTGCTCACCAAGAGAGGGCAAGGACTGGTGTGGGCTACACCTCTCTGGGTTTCTCCCCTCTCAGAATCCTATCAGTGCAGCTCAATGAAAGCCTCCAGCTCCTCAGGGATGAAGCCTTTGTAGGGGATCTTATTCTTGTCCAGGGCGCGGGCTGCAAGGCACTGTAGGGTTACGTAGTTGAAAGGCTGAATGGTGCTCTTAGCCAGCAGCTTCTCATCCAGCAGCTCGTAGGCTGTTTTCTTGAAGGCATTGGTGGCATCCATGTGGGCCCCCGCTTCAATCAGGGCATTCATAATCCCCGGGGAATTGTTCTGGGCGGCTATGTGCAACGGGGTGTTGTTGTCAAAGTCCCGACTGTCTGGGTCAGCTCCGCAGTCAAGCAATACCTTGACCACCTGCAGGGAGGGGAATCTGCCCACTGGGTATCGGCCCACATTTGTGGTGTCCTTGTCCACGGCCATGTGCAAAGGGGTGAAGCCATTCTTGCCCCGGGGGGCACACTTCAGCAGCCGGTAGACGGTCTGGTGCTTCAGATGTTCCTGGTCGGGCGTGCACTCCACTTTCTCCAACAGATAGAGCAGGTGGAGGATGATGGCCAGCGCCTTGGTGAACTGTACAGAGTCCCCTGGCTCCTTGGGCAGTTGCAGGGCCCGTTCCACTTCCCGGACCCCTTTGCAGAGCACCCCCATGAGGTCTGCAAAGCCAATTTGTGTGCCCAGGCTGCCCTTGGCCGCCCGGTCCTGAAGCACGTAAGAGAAAAGTTCAGCAAACGAAAGGAAGCTGCTGGCGGTCATGGGGCTCAGAGGCTCCAGGTTGTTCTGCTGCATGTCTAGGGCATATTTCCACAAGCGAATACAGCGCTCAAAATTGCCTGAGTCAGCATACACTGCGCCCCTATAACGGATATAATAAGAAGTGTCTGGATGAGAGGGACCCAGGATGCGCTCTCGGATCAACAGGGCCTGCATCCGCATTTCGTCCGGATCGGTTATAAGTGCTTCCAATTCCTCGGCAGTGTTCACCTCTCTGGAATAATCATAGGCCAGGACCAGCTGCGGGGGCTCTGGCTTGGGCAGATACGCGCCCCCCTGGTGACGGAGCTCCATAGCCCGCCTCCAGTGTTTCAGGGCCCCAAGCAGATCACGCTTCTTATCCACATACGTGGCTCCCAGCAATTCCAAGGCTTCCACCGCAGCTTCCCGGCTGGTAGGGCAGCAGCTCTCATAAGATTCACTGCTAAGGGGTTCCTCCGGGGAGGAACTGCAACAGCTGGCCTCCCGGGGCTTCACGCATCCCGGGCTGGTGGAGGGACTTTCTTGGGCCAGCCCTGGCTGCGCCTCCTTCCCAGCAGGCTGCTCCTGGATAAGGTACTCCACGATGTTGGTGTGGCCAGTTACGCTGGCTGCCAGCAACGGGGTCATGCCGTAGCCATCGCGTTCCATGCGGGCGTTGCACCCGAGCAGCAGCTGCAGGATCTCCAGGCTGCCGGATTCGGCGCAGTCGTGCAGGGCGGTGTTACCCTTGGCGCTGCGCCGGTTCACCTGGGCGCCCTGCTCCAGCAGGTAGCGGGCGATCTCACGGTGGCCCTTGTAACAGGAGATCATGAGGCACGTGTGCCCGTGCCGGTTAGCCACCTCCAGGTCGGCCTGGTGCTCGCCCACCAGGTAGCGCACCACCTCCAAGTGCCCATCGAAGCAGGCGGCGCGCAGCGGCGTGGAGTTGGTGCGCGTGGTGCGGTTCACCGAGGCCCCGCGGCGCAGCAGGCTCTGCACCACGTCCAGGTGGCCGGCGGCCGAGGCGGCCCACAGCGGCGGCGCGCCCTCGATAGTCTCGCCATCGAAGTGCACCGAGCCTCCTGCCTCCACGCTCGCGCCGCACCGGTCCACCAGATACTCGACCACGTCCAGGTGGCCGTAGCGGGAGGCGATGAGCAGCGGCGTCCCCTCGCCGGCCACCTCGCCCGTCAGCTCGTCCAGCTCCTCCCGGCTCCGGCCGCTGAGCAGCTTTTGGAGAAGCTGGAGCTTGCCGTCACGGGCGGCATTGTACACGACGGTGCGGAGGTCCATGGTCCAGACCTCCGCCAGGCCATGGGCCGGCCGCCGGGAGACCGGGAAACTGCAGGCTAGAGCCCGGAGAGGCTGACTGCAACCTTCACCGTCTCCCCCGCCGCCATCTTAGGGGTCCTTAGGCGGAACAAAATGGTTGCCGCTGCCTGGTGTCCTCGTCTAATGGGAGCGCAGAGAGAAATGTAGTCCTCTGAGCCAGCCTACTCGGTAGGATAGAGAAGGAGCTGTGAGGTTTGAGGACTATGTCTCCCAGAAGTTCGCGGGGTAGTCCCTGCGTACTGGTAGCACGGTGCATGGTGGGAATTGTCGTTCCATGTGCAGCCGATCATAGCGGGATCTGTCAACGGAGGACTACAGTTCCCGAGATGCATCGCCATCGCGATAGCTTATGGGACCCAAGGAAGTTTTGTGGCTGTCTTAGTGCCGGTGCCAACAGGAAACGCAAGCAAGGGCCAAAGACTACATTCTCCAAAAGGCATCGGGAGCAACGTGGCGACTATTATCGAGAGAGTGAACCGGCCAAGCGGTCTGACTCTGGCTGCTGACCGATAGGGGGCTCTCGGCAGAGGCAGGAAAGCCGGCGGGGCGAGGTTGCTAGGGGTGCCGGAAGTACAGGTGGCCCTAAGGGTCAATCTCCTGCACTCATTTCTCGTTCATTGATTCTTTCATTCACTCACCCATTAATCCGTCAACTGAAGGTGGTTGCCACCAAGTCAATACCACCAGAAGTTCTTGAGGCGCGGTAATGCGGGGACGCTTTAGTGAAAATAGCTCAGTTGTGATACAGCCTGAGTGTGGAAGGGCTGGGCTGTGAGACATCTTAGCTGCGAGACCGCTCAGCCCAAACCGCTCCGGGGAGCGTCTCTTGCTGCTTCAGTTCAGGGGTTACAGCTCCTGCTGAGGAAGCTGAAAGGGAATCCGTCGAGGCAGAAGTGAATCTGGCTTATATAGAGAAGAATGCTGGCCCATGTCCTTGATTGGTCCATTTCTGTGCAAACGAGGGTTCAAATCCACAGTTTGATCCCTGACACTGCTCCCATGAGAGGTGAGGACTACATACCCCCTCCTTGAATGTGGGTGGACACGTGCCTGCTTTACTTATAGAGTAAGACAGAAGTGGCACTGGGATTTCTGAATTTAGGGCATAAAAGTTCACCAGCTTCCCCTTTCTCTCTTTTTTTTTAAGGTTCTGAAAGAATTTTTTACTCAATTGGATTACAGAAAAGTCTTTTTCTCAATTTTGGTACTAATCAGAGGTACTCATGATCAATTCTATGAAATCCACTATTCTCTTGAGATGCCCAATCTGGGGAAGCCAGCCACCATGAAAGAAGTCAGGACCATCATGCTGGACAGACCAGTGAGACCCTCTTGTCCACCCTCCCAGCTGAGCCCAGCCTTCCAGCCATCCCCTCTGAGGTGTTCCCCCTGTGAGTGAAGCTATTTTGGATCTTCCATACCAGTCATCCACCAGTTGATACCACCCACAGGTAACAGAAGCTCCCTGCCCCACCCCCAAACTGAGCCCTGCCCAAATTCCTGACCTGCAGAATCCATGACATATAAGAAAATGATTGTTTTAAGCCTGTACGTTTTGGAGTAGTTTGTAATGCAGCAATAGTAACTGGAAGCATGTTAAATGTAGCTTGTGGCTTTAATTTGCCTGCCTATAATTACTAATCAAATCACACAGTTCCCCAAGAGTTTGTTTACTATGTCTGTTTCCCCTCTGGGGAAATGCCTGTTCAATGGGTAAATATGCCATGGTTTAGTTTCTAAGAAACAGTCTCATTGTGTTCTGAAGGGACTAAATAGATCTATTCCGTTTAGCTCAGCCTGAGGTATTGATATATGCCTTTATTTCATTCAATCGGCCATATTTATTGATATTCTAAGCACCTACTATGTTTTGGGTCAGTTGCTACAAGCTGTTCTCAAGACAACTGTTCTCAAGAACCCAGAATCTGATCAAGGAAGGTAGGTTAAGTCAGGTGTGTGGGATGTGGGACCGCAGAGGACGAATATATTGTACCTGACTCGGGAGGGAAGGAGGTAGTTGGGAGATGTTTCACTGATAGGGAATTTTTCAGGCAGAGTTGTTGAAAGAAGCAGTGCCCATATCATTCTAGTTATCTAGTTTGGCTTAACAAACTATCCCAGACTTAGTGACTGCTGTGGACTGAACGGTATCCTCCTAAAATCTGTATGTTGAAGCTCTAACCCCAATGCTACTGTATTTGCAGACAGCCTTTAGGAGGTGTCACGCAGTCTTGAAAAGTCACTCAGGGTCACTTCCACCCAATGGCATTTTCTGGAAGAAGCTCTCTAAGTCTGACCCACTTCAAGGGGAGAGAATCAGACACTACTCTCTCAAGTGAAGGGAGTTAGATGTGGGAGAGATGTCAGTGAGTTTGGAAATATGTTTTAAAACCACACACAGGCCCTGGCTGGTGTGACTCAGTGATTAGAGCATCGGCCTGTGCACCGAAGGGTTGAAGGTTTGATTCCCAGTCAAGGGCATGTACCTGGACTACAGAACAGGTTCAATCCCCAGCCCAGTCAGGGTGCGTGCAGGAGGCAACCAATCCATGTGTCTCTCTCACATCGATGTTTCTCTCTTTCACCCTCCACTCTTTCTAAAAATTAATGGAAAAATATCCTCAGGTGAGGCTTGGCAAACAAACAAACAAACAAACAAAAAACCCGCACACACAGAAGCAAAGACCCAGGGGGTAGACCACAGGGTAGGCACGGTGCATTCAGTACCTCATTGAATCACTCACTCCATGCCTACAAGACAGCATTTTAGGGGACTTCTTCGCCTACGATGAGGGGACACTCCCTTCTCTTTAGAAGTCCCTAAATCAATTATGCAGTTGGTTCTTTTTTTCTAAAATATATCTTTATTGATTTCAGAGAGGAAGGGAGAGGGGGAGAGAGAGAGAAACATCAGTGATGAGAGAGTCATTGATCCACTGCCTCCTGCATACCCCCAGCTGGGAATCGAGCCTGCAACCGGGGCATGTGCCCTGAAGGGGAATTGAACTGTGATCTCCTGGATCATAGATCGATGCTCAACTGCTGAGCCACACCTGGCGGGGCCAATTGCTTTTTTTGGTAACATACTGAATGAAACATTCAGAGCTAAACACGTCTATCAAGAGGATATTTCATCAAAGTCCTCTTGATTTTTTCTTCAGGACATTGCTGAGTAATAAACAGACACTGCCCACACTACTTTCTTAGCTGTCTATGGTGAAGTGTCCTTTTTTTATAGCAGAAGTCTGACTGTGGAGACACCCACGCACTCATGAAGTTTGGGGAAAGAGAGAGGAGTCTGCCGTGGGAGAGCTATGTGGGGGCACTTTAGTCACTGCTTCTCAAGCAGAGGTGTCTGACATTGGTGGTGTTCAATGGTATGTATTTTTTCTTTCCTTAAGAGGCGACCTTTGCTCATCTCTAACAGAAATGTTGCTGAGTAGCAGAAGTGCATGGTTCCCTATGACAACAAGCAAGAGAGAAACTTTTCTTTGAGTCTAATTTTTAAAATTGAAATAAATTATCCAACTTAACATGTACAACTCAGCTCATTTGGTCATTTAGTACATTCACAGTGTTGTACAACCATCACCTCTATCTAGTGCCAAAATACAGGGGTGGGCAAAAGTAGGTTTACGCTTATGAGTACGAGAAACAGTTTATTATTATATTATTATTTATTAATTATTGTATTATTTTCCATATGAACAACTATAAACTTAATTTTGCCCACCCCTGTGTTTTTGTCACCCCAAAAGGAATCCCGATCCCCATGAGCAGTCACCCCAATCTATATAATATATATTTACTGTATATTAGACATGTATATAAGTGCGATACATAAGTTTATGACACATGTTTATATTATATAATATATCTATAATATAATTTATAACAGAATATAATAATGTATTATAAATATTACATAGATGTATAAATATATAAAATAATATATAATGACTAAAATATATAATAAATTCATATTACATATAAGATAAAATGTAATGCATATGTAAACCACAATGTAAACCATAGTGTTTTCTGAATAATTTGAAGAAGTAATTTGTAGTCTTGGCAACCTTTACTCTTAGATACTTCAGTGGGCATTTCCTAAGAACAAGGGCTTTCTCTCACAGACCCACAGTTCAATGATCAAAATCAGGAAATGTAACACTGAGAAGCCCAAGTCATCTAATCCACCACCCAGATTCCAAGGCTTTCCATTGTTCCAACAGTGTCCTTTATAGCTACTCTCCGTGGAAGTCAGTGATCTTCGTGTCTTTCATGCTTTCCTTCTTTGACCACCGGTTTATCACTGAGTCTGGGCCAGATGGGATAAAACAAGGATGTTTCTCCAATTATTGCCTCCCCTGCTGTCTGTCAAATCTCCCTTTTCTGCCCTGAAGAGCACATTCTGTAACTTGACTGATCACTATCAGTCAAAGTCCTGACCTGTGCTGTCCTGTTCTGTCCTGTTAACAATTTCCTCCCAGCCGGCATGGCTCAGTGGTTGAGCATCTACCTACGATCCAGGAGATCTCGGTTCGATTCTGGTCAGGGCACAAGCTCAGGTTTTGGGCTCGATCCCCAGTAGGGGGCGTGCAGGAGGCAGCCACTCAATGACTCTCGCATCATTGACATTTCTTTCTCTCTCTCCCTCTCCCTTCTCTCTCTAAAATCAATAAAGACATATATATATATTTCCATCTCAGAGCTTTCTTCAATCCCTTGGCTGATTGGTGATGTTACTGGGAAAACTTGGGGTGACTCCCCTCTCTGTGCCCAATCCCTTCTGCCTCACTTTGAGCTTTGTGTGCTCTGTTTCTGTCCATCCCTCTGTCACTTGGCTGGGGCAGGGCAAGGGAGAGGGGTTTCTGAGTGTACCAGCAGGTGTGAGCTCTGACCACCCACACAGCTGCTCTCTCTGGATCCAGAAAGGCAGGCACAGAAGGGAACAGATTCTTGAGCTAGATATGCATTGGGGGAGGAAACTCAGCTATCTCCTTGTAATGCTGCCTGCCTGTTGTCATGGAAACCCAAGCCACTCTCTCTTGAAGGACCCATTAAGGTTCAGGATATAATCAGCGCCCTCTCTGGCAGACCCCCACCCTTCCTGGACGATGCAACATCTGAGTTCTGTCCTCACCACCTCTTT